CACTGAAGCATTCTAAGCAACTTAAAACAGTTGTAAGCTCTGAAGTTCTCCTCTCCTGAAAGGTAACGCCCATAAATGCACCAGAGCAGTCAAGACTCAGGATGCTTGAGCTCTTGCTTTCCTATACAAACGCAAAGGCAGAAAGTGATATGAAGCGAGTACATCGTCAAAGGGGAAAAACCATTTGCCAAACCCCTTTCGAAGCAACCGTTGTTGAAGGACAAGAACCGTTCCTCTTCTTCGAGGTAAGTAACCTTCCATCATGTACATGTTCTCAACACATCCCCAATATATCGAAGTATCGAGCCTAAGGCTTTCAGTCCCATGCCGCTAAGAAACGTTGGTCTCGTAAAATTGACAAGGATCGTACGAGGGTCGCTTTTTTTAGGAACTTCCAGAAGGACCTACAAAGAGTGACCGACAAAAATGTCAAGTGTGAGCTCGGCAAAAAAGAGGACCATAAAGCTCAGAACCACAAAATTACAAGCTCTGATAAAATGACGGAAATGATTAATGAAGCTATAGGTCTGGGTTTCCACAAAAGCCATTACATCATCTTTTCACAACTTGATCAGTTTCTAAGCGCGCCTGCAAACACCTTACCGCGGTGAACCCTTAACCATTGAGCATTCTCCAAGTGCTTCATCTTCCACTGCAAGGGGCCATGTAAACTCTTCAGTAACTTCTGNCCCTTTCTTCTAAGAGACTCTTTACCCATAACAACTGCTTATAACAGATGCCTCTGATGTACCCAAAGTTTGGCGCTTTCTATTTAGGCCCATATCTGCAGCAGCATTTGCTAAGACAAATAATACTCTTGTTAGTTGAAGCCGTACAAAAGCAAAAAAGTGAAACGTAGTTATATCGAAGAACAATAGCAAATAAGTGGAAAGAAAAGCTGAAAACTGCAAATGATGAGCGGAATGAACGTACCGATTGCAACTGAAACGCATTCGTAGTACCACGATGATCAATGTCATGACAGAGGCACGCAATCAACAGAGCTAACCGTTCCAATTCATCGAGCCCATGCAGCACAGCTGGTGTACGCAGACTGATCCAGCAGAAATGAGCCACAGAGAACGCATGCGACCAATTATGGTAGGGTACCTACAACACTAAATAAATTCTGCTGTTAAGGGAATGAAGTGAGAAAAAATCTGGTTCTTCAGACGTTTCTGAACATAGGCGTTCTCACAACAAAAAAAAAATGTTGGCGAGAAATTAGCACCAGAGCATTGGGCAAGAATAGTTCACTAAGAAAAGGTAGATCTTTCTCAACTAAAAAAAAACCGGAAATCAAAGCAAAAAGTCATAATGACGAATGGATCACGATTTGGAACAGGCACTGTAAAGATAGCTGGGGGACCCAAAATCCGTAACCTACAAAACAGTAGTCGCAAGGTTGCAAAGAACTGAGAGTAATAGCACCCGGATTCAATGAGGGGAAGACAATTTTCAAGAAGATAGTGTTCGTTTATTCCTTTAACTTCTGCATTGAAATCATTTCGGAAACGTCTAACAAAAAAAAACGGTAGGTCGAGTACCCACAGTCATTAACTGTGCAGTAAAAACGCAAGAAACGATCAATAAAAGTTCCAAATTTACCTCACGATATCCTTTCGCAACACGAAGAATAAACGAAGCTAGTTTTCGCTTGTTCATACTGTACCTGGCAGTGAATCCGAGGTCCTGGAAATAGAAAAAACTTATGCAAATGATTGTGACGTAATCCAAAGGACTCTAAGGGACTCCTCAAAATCAATGAAATAATAAATGAAAAATACTTCTCCTTACTTCAAACATGGTCATCGATGCTGCAACGTAAGCGTCGCCATCGCCAATAGAGCGTGGTGAAAAGAAAAATCGGTCAAATTGAGGGCTCCAATGCCTTTAACAAACGACAAGCGGTAAGAGAAAAACAAGATGAAAGAAAACAAAATAAGAACGAAACCAAGTGATACCTCCAGTCCTTAATGGGCTCGTTCGCGAGTCTATTGACATCTTCTTCAGAAATCTGGCAATAACTTATGTTTAGTAAAATACCATGACATTTAAAAAATGAAGAAAAAAAGAAAAGAGAAATCAAAAATCATAAAGGTGAAACTTGTTATGGTAACTTTTAAAAGAGGTCGATTTATATAAAATCGAGCAACAAATTTTTAAAAAATGAGTTGAAATTTTTTGAAATTTGGAAGATTAAACAGGTACAATAGAATGAAAAATCGAAAAGATAAATAAAAGGAAACATACAAGCAACTGAGATCCCTGCACCAGCAGCTCAGCAGCCATATGCGAGCGGCGTTGAGCCTCCTGCACTTTTCGATAGAGGAGACACTATAATACATTCAGTACCGATGAAATGCAAATTTAAAAATAAAAGCTGAGTTGACAAAAGAAGATTAAACGGAAAGCGACAACGTAAAATCATGTTCTGGTGGTAACATACGTGAAATGACGATATTGCAACAAATAGGCAGCACTAATCTTCAAAGGTTGAAGGAAAGGGATCTACACTCAAGAACTCAAATAAGTGGATTAGATGATTCAATCATTTCAATTTTTCTTCTCGCAAAAAACCTCACTCAGTATTTTTTGTAAAGGCAATCAGATGATTTACTCATGGGAACCCTTCAAAAAATTCTAGAGACGCCTGTGAAACTTTGTTTACGTAAATACAAAAAAAAGCTTACATGTGAAATGCTAGTTGCGCAATATACCGCAAATGTGCGAGCTTTTTGTTCGTCGTGCCGAGTAAAACCAGTCCGTCCCGTCTTGTTACAGAGCTCTGCCACGCCAACAAATGTTCCTAAAAAGGGACATCAATTTTTCGAACTGAATGGCCGCCATCGTATTCTCTCGGTCAAAAACCTATTTCGAATCATAATCGTTGAAATGGTTCCACAGAATGAAAACAGCAAAATTTATCGATTATGGAGAACCGGAAGAAGAGTTGTAAGTGAATTTGACCACTACATATGGCACAGAAAACGAGAGCGGAACATATCAACGGAGTATAAGCTAAAAGTAAACTAAAATCGAAAGGATGGTAAGATCCCCCAACTTTCGCCTTCCGCTTATTCTTAATGTTAATTAATACTTCGTTGATATTCTATAGTTTTACCGTTGATATCTTATGAATGTCAAGAATACATTTATGGCTTTCCTAGAAACTGTTCCTGAGAGAATAGCCAACTTATAAGCGGGAGGAAGAAGGATGTCCAAAAGAAGTTACTTGGGATTCTCGAAGATTTCTCTTGAAGCAGGGAGTCAACCCGCAGTGGAGAGCAACCAACAGCAGCGGCCCAAAAGCGACACTCACATAATTTCGAACCAATCAACTAGTTTTCATGAGTCATGAAATTCTGAACTGGATAATAGATTTCAAATGGTTTCAATTGTTGGTGTGGACGGAATAAAACTACCAGAACTTCCAGCAGCGTTGTCGTCGGAACAGGGCCTTTATAACACACAATAAAAAAGAATTCATAAGAAGTTATTCCACAATTTCAAAACTTTTTCTTTCCCTTGAGGAAAAACACAGAGGTTAAATGACCATAGGAATAATCTCGTGCAGCTAATAGGGCAGTTAAAATGAATTAGATAAGTATAGTGAAGTTAGACGCACAGTAAGGTGATTAGACAGCTCGATTCATGGCCTGTTTTCAAACCATCTAATCAATTGATGTACTATGAATAATGCAAACAACGTTTCCCTGAAAACATCGATCTCTTTTATTGCATCTTCATCTCACCACAAAGTAGCGGAATAGTCGAGTCTTCAAATTTTTTGAAGAGGCAGCTTCATGGACTCAGTGTATTTAATTGCAGTTTCAATTCTAATGGTGAACAGCACGATCTATACGAGAAGGCTCCAAGAACGATATCTAGGTATACTCTTTACTATCATTACAAATGTTCTCTTTCGAAAGCAGGCAATTGTCATCATTTCCAAGGAATGCTGAACAAAAAGGCCATTTCGAATGTTCTGCTTTTACTCAGTTTAGACAACCGCTTGAAACTGAAGTTATGTCTCAATACTCTTCGGTACTAAACACAGCCAGTTAAAGCAGGCTTTTACATAGGAATAATAGGAAAAAAACAAAAGTAAATCCTGAACTGAAAATAAATGCGGACGAAAAAAAATCCGTAGATTTGTACAAAGACCGACCCCTAATTCGACCAATCCCTAAGCCCTAGTTCAATCAATCGGCAGAAAAAAGATAACTAAAAGAATCACTTTGAATATGTTGATAAGCAAAGAAACAAAGTATAGGTTATACATACACATAAGTGATGGGGTCACCCCACTCCGACACGGATGAGTGATCTCTGCGATCTCTGGTTACTGACAACAATTCGGAATAGTTTTGAAGGTGTATAAAACGGAGTGTATCCTAATTCAATGCTTGTTTCGAATTTGCTAGATGAAAACTTGAACAAATCTCAAAATTGTGTTTATTCTAGCTAAATATCGCAAATGAAATGGCAGTCAGAATTCTCACACTAATTTGAAAAGAAATGCCAATGAACTGTTATCATAGAAGCCACCAGTGCGCTAGATAAGACGCATCTTCCGGAAGAAATTTCCCAGCTGATAACAGGACGACAACCACGGTGCCGTCATTTAAGCCGAAGCAATCCACGAATTTCGAAACTTTTCAAATCCTCAAAAGCAGGATTATCACCCAGCTTCAAAACGTCAACCCTTCTTCCGCCCTTTTTCCTCCACGTTGGACGAGAACGTAACTACAGAAGTTGCATGGAAAGGATATTCAGACGAGCTGTCCAAATGTATGTCTGCCATTGCCTGCAGCTGACTACAGCAAGCTTCCTGCGTGAAACGTGTTCGTTCTAGCGCGAATGGTGCAATTCCTGCAACCTTCGTTCGTAGCGCCGTGAACACGTCCTCCTTCGAAAGGTGCGTCAGCTAAGTCGGTTTTGAGGCCCTTTTACGCCCTATTTAGACCGTTTTTCAACCCCGGTGCTATTCTTAGGAGTCAGTGTTTCATCTTGGGATGGAAACCCAGACGCCATTTTTGGTACATCAGCACAGCTCCAGATGTGAAAATTACTCATGGATTTTTGAAAAGGACTCCCAACTTTCAAAATATGTGAGCAATGAGAAAAGATTAAGAAGAAAATGAAAAATTTTCTATTGAGGTGGACCAATTTAAGAAAACATTGAAAATTCGACATTTTCTGAGTTATTTATGCGCGAGAAGCGCCTTGCATTGTAATGGCTCTCTGAATCGTAGAGAGATCTGAATGAGAACACGATTCTTAATGACTTCCTAGGATAGCCATTAAGCTAATCTGTAGCTATAAGTTTATTGATTCGGCTATCTCTCACTAACTCTCGCAAGCCTTGGAAATGATAAGGATTTCCGGCGATTCAACCAAAATGAAAATGAGCATTCAGTATATAAGGTATGGAAACTAACGGTAGACGTTCAGGTATCCAATTAGGCACTTTTTGTGGCCAATGCCTTTCACTGCCAGTGAGATAACACGTAAGCGAAGAGGAGATAGATGTTGTCACGTGGTAAGCAGACATAACAAACAAAACATTCATGGAATTGCCAATGCCTAAGAAAAACTTCCAAGTTAAACAGTAAACTACTAATCAACAACGGAGAGTTCGACTGACGGAATTCGCTAGAGACTTGAAAGCATTCGTATAACGACAGAACAATTCTATTGTTTTTTGGTGTGTGCCATTAAGTCAGTGGCTTCTGCCTGGTCTCGCCTTTTGAGTACCCTAAAATTCCATAGATAAGAGCGGGTGAACCTACCGGTGAAAAATGAATTGGAAAAAATCGAAATTGAATGCAGTCACCC